CTACTCTTATTCGGATTGAGTAGATATTTAATGATTCAGTAAGTCGTGAATAAGAGTTATATTCACAATATACCGCCTAAAGTTGCATTTTCTTGTATCACTTTATGCGGTCAAGGTTAACTGAAGCTCTTATTTGATGAAGAGCTACTTATGGTATCGAAGTCTGCTAAATCCGAGCGTAGGCTTAAGCCGAGACAGTGAGTGACGAGCAATCTGAATCCCCTACGGTTGAGGGAAAGGCAGAAGACCGACTGCGTCAAGGCTTTACTTACGCTATTTTGACAAAAGTTTAGAAGGCATGGAGGGTATTGTACGCAGTATCTAGGCTCTGAATTAGCCCATTCACCCGGTTGCCATGGTGAAATCAGGCGGGCAACCGTCTTTGGAGGCTAGTGTAGACGAGGGTGCGTGGATTGCCTTCGACCATGAGTCGGTGTGCTCGTGTTGCGGCCGGCCGGTCGGACATGTTTGGTCTCCGCCGGCGTCTGGTCCTCAGGCCGACCAGCAGACCGTTCTGACCCACCAGCACCAACAGCATCTGAACACTGAAGATGAGGGTGGCGAAAATGACGGATTTGTGGCCACTCTGAATCCACGGTCTCGAGTGCCAGGGGTCAATCATGGCGGCTGTCTGCCAGATCCAGACGGCCTGCAGCAGCACTAGGCCGCTGGTCATCTGACCGATCAACAGACAGCGATATTCGAGTCCCGGAGCCGCTCGAATTGCATCCCGGTAGATGAGAAGACCGGCACAGGCGGCCGCCAAGTAGGCGTCGAGGCTGCGCGCCACTCCTGCCAACTGGCTCGACGTGATCTCGCTCGTCTGAAGGCTGTGCATGGCGCGACCTGCGAAGATGGTGGCCTCGACGAGCCCTCGAAAGCCGGTGGGCAGCTGGACGCCTAGTCCGAGTTCGGTGTGCAGGCCGGCCAGCAGAACGAGACCCGCGTAGAAGGTGAAATAGGCCGTGCTGCCAGGCTTGCCCAAACGCACCTCGATCACCTCGAAGCCGAGTCCCACCAACGCCGCCGTCAACAGGCCCACCGCTTTGCCAAGCATCATGCGCCGCCCGAGCCTGCCA